TGCCATGTTTTCTCGTGCTAGAGATGATGTACTACTAGTTGGTTAACAGTGTGGAATTTTTCTTGTAGTACACAAAGTAGTGATGTCCTTCTAGCACAGTGCCTTAGGTCCGACAGCATGGGGGCAGTTTCACACGCCTCCATCAATGGCCAGCCCTGCCCTAATGTGGTCTCCACAGCATCTCACATACCCAGTCAGTCAGTAACAATCGGCCTGGGGATTCCAGCAGGTCCCACCAGTGTGACAGCAGCAGAGTACCTGGTCCTCCCTGATCTCATCACTCACACTGCTGCGGCCAGGCGAGCCTCGAGCGTGTTCTCCCACCTCCATCTCGTCAGGATCACCCACACCAAGCGTCCATGGCGCTGTCTGAGCACATCTGCCAAGTCTGGTCCTTCCTCCACATTTCTGAACAATTTTTGGAAAGGTCACGTATTTGCTAGTCACACAAACCGCCCACCCTTCCTCCCATACACTTACTGATGCATACTTTCTCCCACGTCCCCAAATGCCAGGCCCGTGAGCTCAGGGGGTGCAAGCTGTGGAGAAGCTGAGAAGGGGGCGTCTCACACTCAGAGCCCTGAGCACAGACCGTGTACACACGCACGTGCACACATACCAGCGACCACAGGGACCCTAACTCCTCCACAGTACAAAACTGAACAGAAAACATGGCAAGAAAGCAGGCTGCTCCAAAGGGCCTGATCCAACTTGATTTTGTAGGGGAGTTTCCAGCAGTCCTGCTTCAGTATGAAACACTTCTACGGCTACCCAACTGTGTTTGAGCCCCAGTCTTTGCAAATGCCTTGTGCCCAGGTATTTAAGCAGGAGCTCATCATGTTTAAACGAGGCTGTGTCACATCAAAAGCGTTCATAAACGTCCCTGCACAGACTCAGCTCAAAGCCCTGGGCAGAACAAGTGGACAAAGCCTGGTTCCCAGTTCAGGCTACAGCTTGAATATCAAATTATGGTATGAAAAGGCTGAGTGTTTTTGTAGTGAAAGCAACCGAATGCCTCAGAGACAAAAAAGGAAGCTCTAAAGGGAGAATAATGCCCCTGGGAAGATGGCTCAGGGTGGGGGACAGCAGTTTCTTTGCTCCAAAAAGCCTCCTGCTGTCTCTACCCTGCTCAATGACCCACTTCTGAGGCCAACACACTCCTGGTCCTGACACGGCTAGGGTTTCCATCAAAGGTTCTCTACCCTGTCATCACAAAGTCCCTGATATGTGCTTAAAGGGCTACTAATGACTGCGGAGCACTCACTGTTGATGGCCGGTGAACGGTTACAAGGTGATGCGTTTTTTTAATGAATGTCTTTATTTTATGAGTATGTATTTATTTTAATGTACATTAGAAAACAACACATAGCTAGCACCTGTGATTTCATAAACATAATTACTCAGGACATGTCTATGTTAAGAAAATTGACTTCTTGTCTTTCTTTTGGAGATAGGGTCTCGCTAGGTTGGCCTCAAATTCCTGGCTTAAGTGATCCTTCCGACTCAGCAAGCGCCACTGTCCCTGACTGATTTCCTTTCTGTATTTATGTAACAATTTCCACAAAATCAAACTCTTGGTCCTCCCTGCCCCCAAGCCATTCTTCTTCCAGGGCCCCAATGTAAATGGCACCACTGTTGTTCAAACCCAGCCTGAGTCCTTGCTCTGCCTCAAACACAGCTGGACTCTGATATTTCCACCATGTCTCTACCACCCCAGCCAAGCCACTGTCTTCTCAAGCTCGGATGACTGTAACAGCCATTTAACAGGTCCCAAGCTTCCACTCTCACCACTCCACTGCAACAGAGATCTTTCTCCAGTCATAACTCAGAACACATCAGGCTCCTGCTGAAAACATCCAGAAGCTTTGTATCACACATAAGCAAAGCCCAAAGGCCATACCCACACCCATTAAGCCAATCCAAGAGACCATGCTGCCACTCTCCCCAAAGTACTCAACTCCAGCCACACTGGCCTCCTTGGGGCTGCTGAAAAAAGGCAGGCCTTTGTATCCTCCACCCCCTCACTTTTCCCCACTCTACCTCACCAATGTTGAGACATCACTCCCTACTACCCCATGGAAAATGTCCCCCTCCATGGGCAGTCCTCACACCACCACCTGAGGTTCTAGTTGATATTAGGTCATGTTTTTGTTCACTGTTTTTTACTGCCTGTCTCCCTTATTAGAATAAAAGCTACATGACAGACGGCAATGTCCCCTCACCTGCACGGTGCCTGCCTTAGTCAGCAGCCTCCATGACACTGGAAGGGTTCAACAGCTGTTGGCTCAAGTGGAAATGAAGGTGGCAGTTCGTTTGACTGAGACGACAGCCAAACGGTTCATTCAACACTAGCATTACTCCTGGGAGCCTCTTTGGTTTAGGGACCTGCACAAACCCTCATGGAACCCATACAAGGCTGAAGGGCTGGGGTTTTATAAACACATCAAGCTTTCTTCAAAAGCTCTTTTCTTCAAAAGACTTTGTAAGATACCACACTGCCTGGGGAGGAAAGGTGAAATTTCTCAGGATGACGTGCTGCAAGTGCTCTGCTAACTGGCCCTAAAATCCCTTGTAAGTATATCAGCCAATCCCAGCCCCTTTCTGCAAGCCCCACTGCCTCGGTCACATGAGGCTGCTCTATGCCTGTCCTGCCCACACACAGACCTGTACTAGCAATTCTAGTCAACCTGCAGAGAGCTCCGACTGCACAGACACTTAAGGACAACTCCCTCCTCCCCTCAGCCTGGCAAACCCGACATCCTTTAAAGCCTCTGTAGTTCTCTGTTGCCTGCCCAGGGCTCCTGCCCAGGGCCCACACTGACCTGAGAGTGCTGTGCACACTGTGCTAGTGGCTTATGCTCCTTCTCCTAAGCTGGGCTGCAAACACAGTGAGGGTAAGCACCTCTCTCAATCACCTTTGCACTGCCAGGCACAGCAGCCAGACAAGTAGCCTTCACAGCCATCTGCCAAACACAGGATCTGAACTGCTCTCACCAGACTCAGGACAAAGGCCAGGTAATACCCTGCACCCAACCTGGACTGGACACCCAGGTGCCCTGTGAGTAGGGATGTTCTAATCATCTTGAGGGCAGGAGGGAGCTTATATAGACGTCTCTGCCAGCCCCCTCCCTGCATCAACACGCTATGGGGTTTTTAAAATTTTTTTATTATCATTATTTTTTGGTGGGACTAGGATTTGAACTCGGGGCTTTACACTTGCAAAGCAGGTAGGTACTCACAAAGCAGGCTCTGTACTGCTTCAGTCACACCTCCAGTCCAGTCCATTTGCTCTGCTTATTTTAGAGATGGGGCCTCATGAACTATTTGCCCGGGCAGGCCTTGCAGTGTTTGATCTCAGCCTCACCAGTAACTAGGGTTATACCTGTGAGCAACCAATGCCTACCAAGATGCTATATGTTTAAAGCTAATACTTTTTCTTTTTCTTTCTTTTTTTTTAAAGAATCCACCATGAGGCTGGAGGTGTGGCTCAAGTGGTAGAGCACCTGCCTAGCAAGCATGAGGCCCTGAGTTCAAACCCCAGTAACTACCAAAAAAAAAAAAAAAATTAAATAAACAAATAAATAAGAGTGCACCATCACTCAGAGAACACATTCTAGGGCTTGTAAAGCTCACTTCCTATCTAACTGGAGTCCCTTGGGCTCCATCACACCTAGGAGGAAGGGAAGCTGGCGACCACCTTGGTCTGCCTGACCCAGGTGGCCACTCTCTCCTTAGCAAGCCAAAGCAGAGTGCATCATTTACCACTTCTTTCAGCTGCCCTTTCTCTTCATGCCACAGTCAAACTAGTGTTCCTGGATGTTCTCTACAATGGAGACACTTAACAAGGGTTCTGCTCCCCGACCTTACAAAGCAGGCCAGACCTCTGCTGCAGAGTCTACACAGGCCTAATGCTGCATGCATTAGCATACAGTTGTGAAGGTCATCCTCACCCTCCCAATTCCAATGCTTCAAGACCTTCATGGGCTCATCTCTGTAGAGCCTCATCCTAGCTGTGGTCTAGACTACAAACACCACTTACTATCTCACGAACACAAGTGCCCAGCACACAGTGGTGGTCCGTGTGGGGACACAATGGTAAACAAGAGGTCACAAGCCTCGGTCTTCAAGGAATCTACTTTCTACTTCTGAAGGCAGAGAAGTCCACAAGCAACTCCCAGAGTGCCAGGACTGGGGAGGAGCCAGGGGACCAACACTCTGCCCCGGCAGGTCCAAAGAGTAGACCATGGTGCCAACGTATGCACATGTCCATCGGGAGGGCACAGGAGCTGGAAGACAGCATCAAACCCAGTGGGGTCCGGGCTGGAGAGAGGAGCACGACTGGGGCTAGTTGTCCCACTCCCCACTCTCCCCTTAGGGAGAGGAAACTGAGGCCAACGGAGCCAGCGAGTTGGCGCCAGGACCAAAACCACGGACATCATTACTTGTCCAGCCCAGAGGTTATAAGGGGGTTCCTGGAACCACACTGTCTAATTTTGATCCTGCCTCTGCCACTTCCCAGCTGCGTGGCCTGGGGGCAAATGACAGCCTCTCTATGCTTCAGTTTCCTCATACGTAAAACAGGAATAACTTTAGTGCCCATCACCTGGGGCTGTTATGAAAATTAAATTTACAAACGTGAAGCAATCTGCACAAGGCCTAGGACACCGCGGGCTTTACACGAGCGGATGCTATTGCTATTATTATCCGGGCTGGCGCCCAGGCTGGCTCTGCGGCGCCACGTTCCCTTCCGGCTCGAGGACGCTTCCACCCAGCAGGTCCCCGCGCCCTCGATCCCCGGCGGTCGGGCAGGCAGTGCGCACGCGCAGAGCCTCGCGGGGCCGAACCCGCCGCGGGTCTCCCGGCGCTGCACGCGCCCCCGGCCTCCGGAGCGAGGGGACGGCGGCGGTCACCCTCCACCACCGAGGGAGAACCGCTCCTGCACCCGACAGCACCCCCCGGGCTCCCGACCCCCAGCCCGGAGAGCGGGTCGGTTTCCTCACACTCTGCAGCAGGCTCCTCCTCTGCGCCGCCATCTTGGAGGACCCCCGCGGCGCGCCCGCCTCCGGCGGAGCAGTGAAGAGAGTGGCTAGAGCGGCTGAAGGAGCCGTGGAGGACCGCGACGCCGGGGAGCATGCGCACAGCGCCCCTCTGGGGCGGAGGAAGGGTGGGGCACCTGCAGAACGTGTGCGCAGGCGCGCTCCTCCACTTTTCCTCGCAGGGGCAGATTGGAAGAATGCCAAGTGCCTTCACCATCCGTGCTTGCTTCTCTAGTTTTATGCGCGTACTTCCTCCAGGATTATTATTATTATTATTATTATTATTTGTGATACTGGGGTTTGAACTCAGGGACTACACCTTGAGCCACTCAACAGCCCTTTTTTTGATGGGTTTTTCGAGATAGAGTCTCTTGAACTATTTGCCTGGGCTGGCTCCAAACAGTAATCCTCCTAAATAGCTAAGGTTACAAGTGTGAGCCATTGGTACCCGGCCCTCCAGTATTCTTTAAGATGGGGTTCCTAAGGCTCTCATTAGGGCTCTTTATGAATACAGTGGGGGGCTGGTGGAATGGTTCAAGCAGTAAGAGCACCTGCCTAGCACCTGCCTAATAAGCACAGAGGCCCTGAGTTCAAACCTCAGTGCCAACAAAAAGTAAATAAATAAAAATAAAATGATATTGTTGAAGAATACTTAATGAATACAGGGGAGAGCAAATTGTTCATTGAGTCAAATGCCACAGGGAGCAAAACAAGCCTTGAAAAGCTAGCCATTGGATTGGGGAGAATGGTGTTTACATACAGAATGTAAGGAAATATAGGCCCCAAAAGTGACCACGTAGAGAGGAGTGATCTGGCAAAGAGATTCTTTATTGCCGGGTGGGAGAGGGAGAGAGCAGAGAGCCAAGAGAGAGAAGCAGGAGGGGCAAGGGCTTAAATACCCCTCAGTGAGACTCAGCATGATCTGATTGGTTAGGATCTTATGGTTCATGCTGATTGGAGGTTGGGGCAGAAGGAGGATTCAAACTAGACTTGAGGCAGGACCCTGACTCTGGAAAACAGAAGCTTAAGGGTGCAGTAAGAACTGAAACCTATCGGCGCCATTATTGCCAACAAAGAAGATGTTCCGAGTGGTTCTGAATGCTAGGAAGAGAAGTTGATGGGTGGTGGCCAGGACTGTGGTGTTAGCTGGCAATAGGGAAGAACAGGCTAGGTGAAGGGAGGTGCAGGTTCAAAGGAACCAAGGAAAGAGCCTGTGGGCTCAACCAGCATGCAGGTCATGGGCACAGTGGCTAGACAGGTGGAACAGGAACAAATGAAGGGGGTGTAGACCCAGGCAGGAGTTTGGCTGTGCATCTGGAGGGCAAAGAAAAGCTCTGTTTTGTGTTGAGTATTTTTGAGATAGGGTCTCACAAGCAATTTGCCAGGGCTGGCTTCGAATCGCAATCCTCCTGATCTCTGCCTGTTGAGTAGCTAGGATTACAGGTATGAGTCACCTGCACCCGGCCCTCAGTTACTTTTAGTCATGTAACACTGTAGTTATTGTTTGCAGCAAAGTTGAACTTCCCAAGGTCAGGAACAATGGTAACTCAGCCTTGAGTTTCCTTAGACTCCAAGAAAGCTGCTCAGCAAATGTTTGCAACATCAGATTGGTAGAACGACCAGACAGATGAATGGACACATTGGTAAATGAGAAAACAGGCACAGCAGTCTCAAGGTCCCCAAGCAATTTATAGGGGAGCTGGGACTCCAGCTTGGGGCTCCCTGACTCCCCTCACCCTTCTTTCCGCACCTAATCCCACTAGGGCAGGCTTTCCTTCCCAATTTCCTGGGGTCTGGTTTTCCAGGGATTAAGAGGAAGACACTGGGCTCAGCATGGCACCTGGGAGAGAACCATTAAGTCAGCACCTCCTGTTTGCTGGGCACTGAGCTCCCAGGAGCTATAGGATGGATACAAAATTCTGCTGTGGACAGGCCTCTTGCCCCTCTGGGGACAGTTGTGCCCAGAAGTCAAGTTGTAAAATAAGTGCTGTTTTCTCTAGGATGACTATATGAGCCACACTGGGACTTGCAACCAGTTCAAGGCATGCTTCTGCCACAATTAGTGGCCTGATCAGCTCTGTGTCATATCATGGGCACCCAGATGGGCTGGTCACCTGGTGTGGGCCAGGGTTTCCAGTAACACTGTGGACTGCACACATGACCCAGAACATCAGAAAACTGCACTGTGACGTTCCAACTGCCTTACAGTGTGCCAGGCCACTTTCTGGGGTCTGAGAAGGGCTTTGCGGGAGGGTTGGAAACCCCCTGTTGTCAGATGTCTGCCATGAGGCTCCTTGTACTGCCTGTAGCCCCTGCCCAGCCAGCAGATTCCAGTCAGTCCTTTTGGGCCTCACAAACAGCCTCTGTAGCCACCCTGATTTGCAGATATTGGCTTGAAAAGATATAAGGAGCCCAAAGAGTGTTACAATGGGAGAATGAAAGGTTTGCCCATCGTCCTGCCATCCTCATCCTCACCCTCGTTTTCACTCTCTCCATTCCATCCAGAACCCCAACCAGACGCTTTGCCACAGCAACAAGAGGCGAGTACTACACTGGACTGAACTCACGACCTTTCTGCTTCTCTATTGCAAGCATGTGGCTGGGTGGTCTTGGCATTGATTGCTTTAATGGATGCTTCACAGTCCTTTGATCAGACACCCATAGTCGGAGATGGTTAGCTAGTGAACTTGTGCTAGCTGGGCATGTTGTAAACAGCTCTGCCATGAACAGTCATGCATTGAAAAAGTATTTTATTGAGTGCTTTAGAGAAGTACATGAAGTCTATGGGGGAGAATTTGCTCTATAAGACTTTAGCAAAGGAAAAAGAAAGAGGGAAGGAAGGAAGGGTGAGAGGGAGGAAGAAAGCAAAGGAGAGAGGGAGGGAAGAAGGAAGGAAAGAAGGAAAATCTTGACCCTATACAATCTGGGCTTCATGTTGCAACTCTCTTTGCTGTGTATTTGAAATGTTATAGTAAAAACCAGAAATAGATGTAAAGGGAATTATGGCACTCACAGTCCAGACAAGGCAGCAGGCCCTGTCAGGGCAGAATGGTGAGTGCCAGGACTTATCAGAGGGCCACCTGCCTGACTTAGGCTATCAGGGAGGATGTACATAGAAGATAATGAGGTGGGCCAGAAATAGGAAAAGTCTGGGGCTCGTGTAGGTTGCCTGGGGATGGGCCTGACCGCCCTCACCTGGCTGGGAACCACCCGTGCCCCTCCCCACTTGTTCATTATTGGGTGGGAACTTCTTGAGCCTGCCCTCCCATGGAGTAGGGTAGGTTTTAAAGGAAACTGAAAAAGAAAAGCACGCTCTCTCTGCTGGTGGGCTCCATCTGTGCCCACCGTGCCCTCTTCTTTCTACTTCCCTTCCCTCACCTGGCAGAACAGGCAACCCCTTCTCTCAATAAAGCCACCCTACCTTACCCCACTCAAGTGCTCTGCTTGGATTTTTCCATTTGGAGCAAAACCAGATCTTCTGATCACAGACTGCACTGAGCACCCTTAACAGTAGCATCTCACTCAGGCCTCAAGGGTGCACAGGAGATGGCCTGGTGACAGGGAGGGGAAGAGTATCACTGGCAGGAGCAGAGAGCTTGTAGAGATAGTGCTGAAGCTAAGCCCACGAATGCCAGTCCTGTTGGCAAGAGTGCTGGCCAGGTTGGGAAACAGCCCTAGCAGGGTAGGACCAGGGCAGTAGCAGTGCTGTCAGCCATTTGAGGAGTTTGTGTCCTCCCAAGTGCCCTAGCAGCAGGGAAGGACATGATCAGATCTGGATTTGAGGAAGGTCACTTCAACTCTTTCTTCGAATTGCCCCGTTTGGACAGTTTGAGAAGGAAGGTTTACCACACTGGGTTCTTCGATTTCTCTGTGCACCAGTTTTTTTCTTGTGCCTACCAATTCCCTCCTCACCCCCCGCCTTCTTTTTCTTCTCCATCTCCTTCTTGTTTTTTGAGACAGGGTCTCACTATGTACCCCAGACTGGCCTTGAAGTCATAATCCTCCTGTCTCTGTCACCTGAGTGCTGAGATTACAGTCGTTTGCCACCATGCTCAGCTCTGCCTACCTCTTCTAAGATGCTTCAACCTCTTGAAAGCAGGAACTAGGTCTTACTTACCTGCAATCTCTTGCCACAGAGCAGGCACTAAATGGGTGCTTTGTGAGTGGGTGAGCATAAACTGAGTCCTTCCCAAGAGCCAGGCAGTAGCCTGAGTGCTTTACACATGACTTCCTGTGCAGTCTCTGTAATTGCCCTTGTGAAACATGTTACTATCATCCCAGGTACTTCAAGAAGCAGACACCAGGTCAGATATTGTGGGGAGACCCCTGGTAAAGGAAAAGAAGGTGGAAGAACACTGAATCATTATGCAGGTCTAAGTCCTGTACAAGAGACTAGGGGTGCAGCAGAAGGAAGAGGCTCAGACAGTAGGTTGCTCTGCTGCCTGTGCTCAGTCACTGGCCAGGAGCAACACCTTCCTGCAGCCTCCAAAGGAGCACAAGACTGGACCCTGCGGACAGCATGTGGAGCTATTGGCCACTGGTGAACCCAATCCCCACTGGTAGCCATGGAAACTGAGGCCCAGAGAGGCAAAGTCACTTGCCCAAAGTCACAAAGCTAGGAGAGAATGAAGATCCTTTGTTTTAGAGGCTGTCTTCATGACCCGTAGTCTATAAGAGTGTCGTTATGGGTCAAATTTTGTCCCCTCAAAATCCATACAACCCCAGTATCTCAGAAGGTGTTTTTTTTTTCTTTTCTTCCTTTTATTTTATCATTTTTAATTTACTTACATGTGTATACATTGTTTGTGCCACCTCCCCCTCTCCCTGCCGAAGGTAGTTTCATATGGAAATGGGTCAAGGCAGATGTAATTAGTTAAGATGAGGTCACACTGGAATAGGGTGGGCCCTGATCTAATATGACTTGTATTTATAATTTGAGGAAATTTGGACACAGAGACATGTGCATACAAGAACACCATATGCCCTCCTATAATCACAACTCTCATGAGGCTGAGGTAGGAAGATCACAAGTTCAAGGGCAGCCTGGGCTACATAGAGTGTTCTCTGTCAACCTGTG